GGGCTTAATTCTAGGATTGGATTTACAGTTGGTTGAGGAGCATGCTTTAGGTGGGAATGGGTTATGCTGTCCCTTGCCACTCAGGCCTGAACCCTCTCTGGCGCAGGGTAAGGAGGTTAGCAAGCCTTGAGTATAATGCAGCATGACTGAAGGGAAGCCCTCTGTGTGCTTGCAAAAGTGGTTCTACAAAGAGCGGCTTGAACTCCAAGGTCTTGCCTGTGCCAAGATAAAGAGTACACGTGAACACGGGGCGAAACCATCCAAATACTAATTATTACTAAACAGGCTTAACGTAGTAGGAAAGCCTGGCCTTACCTGCTGAAAGGGAGATTAAAGCATGGGGAGGGATATTTGCTTTGTCTATGGTGATCTGTTTATTTGCATCTCGACTCGAGATATGAATGGATTCCAACCCAACCACTTCCTCTGGACGTCAGTTAAACTTCATATTTCAACTGGTTGAAAATGATCGTTCTAGAGAGAGCTTTAAAAAGTTCATGGAAAAAAATGGAATTGAAAGATAGTAAACTTTTCCATGAATTTTTGAAGTTCCATTAGATTACTACGGTAAAAGATCCTAAATGGTGAAGACACTAAACCCACAAGCTGTATAACTCAAACGTAGAGCAAGCTTTTCTTCTACATGAACATGTGCCAAATATAAATAACTTAGAATCAAAATAGAATAAGGGCCACATTAAAACTTTCTTTGTGACTGATATCTCAAGGACACACAGCTGTGCCAAAGGGAAGTCCTTTAGCTTTGGCTAAAAGAGCACTTCCCAAATTGGGTGGTCCTGCCCCATGGTGGGTACTAGAATGATTTAGGGGAACTGCAAAAGCCTTTCCCATACTTCATGCTGGATCATGGGCTGTAGAACCAAGGTTTCTAATTGCCCGGGGGTAAGGGGCAGGAGGGAGAGAGGACACGAAGTAACTTTTTGTCTGAAAGGGGGCAGTAGAGCAAATAACCAATGGCCTAGGGATATTGTTGGTCGTTCTGAATGCTCGAGATCGCTAGGGTTTTAGTAGTATTTTTGGACTCAAAGCGCTAGGATCATAGGCTACTTGATGTTTGCTTTTGGGATTTATCATGATGGTATTTGGCAGCTAAGAAATAAGATGGATGCAAAATGAATCAGAACACAGATATATGCAGAGTTACCTGATGAACCAGACTGGCTCTCAGGCTTCTTAGACTTGATTGTAATCTGTCAGAATTTAAGAACTGTGTCCTGAAGAATAGGCCAGGGGTTAGTTAGAAAAAAATCACTGCCATGGAGTCAGTGCTGACTCCTAGAGACCCCGGGGTTAGTTAGCCCTGAGGCATTTGTAGGCAGGAGTCACTGAAGGAAAAACTGGCACTTGGCCTCTGTGATGGCAGTTTCTCACCGTGGAACAACAAATGACATTTTAGTCATAATCTCAGTCCTGATGCATTTTCATTATTTTGAGATTTCTCTCAGGACTGACCTAGAAATAGAACAAGGGAAGCCGGATGACTCACGCATGAGGCTCGGAAAGCCTGGTGTCTCGGAATTTGAATAAACTCGGAGCAGAAGACCAGAATGAGGTCCCGCTGGCTTTCCCTTTAGAATGACAGGCCGAAACCACATCCAACACCATTTAAACCTTTCTATTTGTGGGTTTTACTTAACACTGCTTGTTGACCTTCCTATAATGGCTCAGAAAATGTGCAAACGATGTTCATTTTGAGTAATCCTCGTTGGAAGCATTCTAATTTAGGATCCCTGCAGGTATTTGTGTGATTTAAAATAGTTAGGAATAGTCCCTAAAGAAATCCTTGTCATTCCCATCACTGGTTTGGAGAAGAGGAACGAAGTAGTATTGTTATAAGAAATGAGAGGCCAAGAAAAAAATGTGCAAAATAGCCACTGGGGGCTAAAGAGAAGGAGTTGGGGCGCCTCATGTCTTCTTGCTTCTCCACAGTGTCCAGCTCTTTTCCTCTCAGTTCAGTAGGCTTTGCCTGTGGGTTGGCTCAGCAGCTATGTTTTTT